AAAAAGCTCCAGGCCCTAGAAATAACTATAAAACTGCCCTCATTAAAATAAACTTCATATTCATCCTGATCGCTGCCTGGATGCCAAGAGTTCTGAAGCGTAAGGCCAATGACACAAAAACTTAAACATCTGTCAGGAATAGAAAAATAACCACCACAGGTTTTTTTTCTTCTACATGCACTATATGAAAATCCCTACATTAGTTTATTGCATTTTCTTCCTTTTTTGAAGTTTGGGCCGAGAAGAGCATAAAAAAATTAAAATCACAATTCAGCTTCCTCGTTCTGTGTTACCACTAACCTTTGTGGTCTTTAACGAGTAAATGGATCCAATTGCAGGGAGACTGCCAAAAAGCTAGGACTCCTAATCAATTCCAGACTATCTGCAATTTGAGATTTATACACAACCCTCTCATATTCCAGGCTTCAACCTTGAATACAGACATTCTACAGCTTTGCAAATTTTCCTGATAGAAATTTGATAATCATATTCTCAGGCTATACATTATCTTCAGCACAAAGGTACATTTTATAAGTCTTTGGAAAATAAATGTATGGTATATTTGTTGCACATCGCACATCTGTTGCTCTTAAATGTAGGACTTGGGGGAGAACATTAAAGGGCTTAAATGTAATGAGCACTTTTTTTTCATTTTACAGAAACAAGTGCAAAGAGTTTGTAAATTGCACACATTTATTTTAAAGTCGATGGGCTGTTCAGAAACTGCTACGACATTTTAGATTAAAACCTAAGCAAACTTTCTGTTTTATGCATAATTAACATTATAAACTACACTGCAACTTTAAACATGGATTTAATCTCTGGAGGTCTAAATCACCTGTGATTGGACTTTAAAAGTGTTGCAGTTTTCTGCTATTTACAGGATGTAATAAATCTTTGAGGTGAAGCAACCTGTTAGCAGCTGCAGCTGTCAAGTGCTTGTGCTTTAGGCTAAAGGTTTAAAGAATTGCTGCAGATGCTTGACTACTAGTTATGAAACCTCATTAAAAGCAGAAGTGCATCACTGTTACTCTGCTATTTATTCTGCCATGCCACGATAATGGGAACCAGGAGGAAACTGCCTCCCATCAACTACTGGAAAATCTCATATGGCGCTTGCTGAATCTGGAGGGTAATGGCTCTATTAGGAGCAGAGGACAATAATTTATTTTCTAAACTTAAGACACACATTTAAAGTAAATTACAAACAAAAAAAAGGATTGCGGATTTAAATGAATACAAGGTGGTTTCATCTACTGCAAAGTTGTATTTTGCATTGAGCAGAGTTCGCTGTACTGAAATTAGGACCAATCAAAGAAAAGAAGGATCCGCTAGGAAACGAGACACTTCTTGAAATTACCTGGGCCCAGTATCTAATATAGGGTCAGTAAAGCACTGGGACACTTTTGGATGCAGAACCAGTCAGCTACCATTCAGGTCCTAATGATACCACTACACTACATACACATATCGCGGAAAGAAAACTAGCATTCCTCCACTGGAGCAAGTTCAGGAAAGGAAGTTGGTGTGATGGCCCTGGCCCTTTCAAAACCCCGCAGAATGGTTCAATAGAGATTAAGTCAAGTCTCTAGGCTGGCCACAAGAAATTTTCAAAATTATGGTCCATGGAACCACTGCCTATTAGCCATTACCCACTGAAGGCCACCCAGCCCTTAACCTAGCAGCATCCTGATTACAACTGACTGTCCCACAGAGCTTTACGAAACCTAGGCTGAATTGTGCTTTGGAATACAAGCAAGCCCCCCAAAAATGTATGTACTCTACTATTATTGAGAATTACATATGTCTGTTGCTTTACAAGTAAATAACAAGACTTTTTGGAGCCGCATCATGCGTGTGTAAGTGCATTTAACTTTGCTTGTAAAAGTTGCTTTGCTGAAAAATATATTCATAACAGTAATATTTCACCAACTAACCTTCCTGTTGTTTTCTTTAAATTCAATGCCATGGAGCAAGTGTTCTTTTGAATTTTTCAAAAGCAGTTCTAATCTGGACAAAGCCACAGCCAATTCCTATATTTTTTTAATTATAGACAATTGCTATAATTTTTTAATTACAGACAATTGCTCAACTTTTTTTTTTTCCTTTTTTATGCTCATACGCTCAGCACAATCAGCTTCAGCTCTTTGGGTTTGGTGACTATCCAAGTTTAAATTTGTGCAGCCTGGTTTCAAACAAAACAAACCATTAACAAACAAATAAACAAACTAGTCATCATTGTAGAGAAACAAACGAGCTAAGCCTCAAATAAAATAAAGCCAATCCGACTGCCATACCTCTATTCCCGGTTTGGCTTAGAAGACAACTGGAAGACACATGCCAATATGCACTGGTTTGCAAAACTTCCTAATATACTACCACTTTAATAAGTCAAACTAGACAGTAAGCAAAAGACACTAACGGAATGCAATAGACACTGGACTGCTCCGCAAGAGAAAAATTGCAGTGGAATTAACGAGAAACTGGCCAGAGGCTTTTCAGAGACTAAACAGGACTGAACGCTTCATTCAGTTAGATTTTACATTTGTGCAAAATAATGTAATATCAATCACTGGATTTTCTCAAAATGCACACATTTATAGTAAGCCTTATTACAATGAAAACAGCTTTGCTTGTGTTGAAAACCGTATGGACCCATTCTTTGTTGCACATTTGTGGAAATATAAAAGGTCTTGACTGATAAGACATTACTGTGTACAAGGCAGAAGAATGGGATATCAGTGTATATTCTGTCAACAGCATATAATTAATCAATTAAAATTCTGCTGAATTTTTAACGTATTTAACCAAGATCAATAGAGTTGCGCTCACGACAACAGGATTGAAGGGGAAAAAAGTAAAATGTGTCATTCATAAATTGTAGTTATTTTGTACATACTGCCGTGTTTAAAATATTTTAGGTCTTGTTACGCAACGATATTTCCCAATTCTTTATACATTTCTAATTCATTGTATTTTCTCATAGTAAGCCTTCTTAATCACTCTGGATACAAGTGACAGCTAAACAGTTTGTGGATTTGTACTGGGCACTGCAAGAACAAGAAAGCCACAGAAATCTCACTAAGTGAACTAATTCAGTCATTTTATGAATACTTTGGAATAAGAGATTTTAACAGAGTTTTTCCATTTCCACAGCATCTATTTATTTTCATTATATTTATTGTGTATATGGAGGGAATTAAAATGACAAATTTCAGCAGTGGAGCAGGAATGAATATTATGCCAATGAGTAAAAATGAGAGGACAAACATCACCAAACCTCCTATGACAAAACAGTATCTGGGTAGGATGGTTCTGAAGTGCTCACTGCTAGGTAATACTTGCTTTACGTTAAGCTATAAATGCTTGTTTGAGAGGCCATTACTTAACCAGAGTTTAAGCTTAATTATAACTGTGCTATAACCTTAAAAAAAAACCTTTTACATGGGCTAGGCTGTGTAATCTACATAAAAGCAGATTTCCTAGAACCTTTTATAACCAAGATGGAAATACCACTTCAACCCCCCAGTTACTGCTGCATTTTTTGCTATTCTTTTAACAGTCTTCATTTTACAGAATACAGAACGTAACTTTTCTTGTGAATCGGCAAAGACATTCTGTTCCCCAAAAATATTCTATAAAGCAATGAGGCTCACCAATTCTCGTGCTCTCCCTTTGATGCCCTTGTAATGGAGAGGTGTGATCCTCATGAGATTCCTTTTCCAGGTTACATATTTAATTATACAGATCAAGAAAGCAAATACCATAACTTTGGATAATATTTCTTCGGATACTTTGCGTATGCAGAATTCCGGCATTCCTGTCTGTCCTGAGAACGTGTCCCATAGACAGATGATCTCTATATAAACTGCACATAAGCATGTACACTATAGGTCACAACAGTGCAACCAATGATGTATTTACTGAGAGACTGGGGGGGGAGCAAAAGCATCTATTCTTTCTCCCGCTCATCACTGCAGTAAGAACATTTTGCCACCCTTCAACACAGACTGTATACAAGATTGCGGGGGAAATGCAAAAGCTCCTTGGCCAAGCTTTGACGGGGGTCTTGTGGTGAAGCATCGGGGGCCAATCCTAAGCCCTGCCTCCCCCAGAAAGTGAAAAATACGACAGGCAGGCCTCAGTACCCCACCCCACCCCCCAGAAAGCACAAAAGTGATAAGAGGGACCCCCTTCGCTGAGCAGGAACAGAATAGCTTGCACCATGGCCCATGCTAATGTAACATCGGCTGCATTTTACGAGGTTAGATGTCTACACTTCAAAAAGTACACGTTTTGACGATGTTCCCTTTGATCTTACAGTGTATTCGGTGAAAAATTATCTGCAATTGCTTAAGGTTCATAAATCATCTAATGCCAACACACAGGAGGATCATCTTCTCCCTGCAGAAAAAAACTACGTAAAGAAAAAAATTCATAAATACCTTTTGGTTGTATATGACGGGTATATTCCCACAGAGAAATAATGATATTTGACAACTGCTGCACATCTCGCTTATCAGATGTAATGAACTTCACTTTAAAAGCTCCAGGAGCTATACAGACAGGTTGTTGCTATCCTCCTCTAATCTTATAATATCTGAATATCAATGAGAATGTGTGTATGCCTTGTGAATATGAGCTTACAGCATGTAGTCAGACACAGGAATACACAAAGTAAAAAACAACTTAATGGTAATTACGTAAGAGACTGCGTGACCTCTCGGAAAATTGCAATCACGCAAAATGTTACTATCACTGTAATCTGACAACGTTGATGCTGTGAAACCTTAAAAAGTGTTATAAAAACATGGATCTGTATCTAGTGCAAAATAAAACATTTTCCAAACATGTATCTGACAATAATAAAGAAGGGGTTATACTTCTGTACGTGTTGCACAATCTTGGATTTCAATATATTAAAAGGGCATGTTGTTTACCACATTTTTACAATTGCCTACCGTATGACCTGAAAAAAAGACAACATTCTTTGTACCCACCTGATGCTAATGCATTGATGAATACGACAGAAAGTCTCAAAAATAAAGAGACGGGCATTTTCAATGAAGTCTTCCAAACAAGCCACCAAGAAGAAGTCATTCACCAGAACCTGCAACACAAACAAGCCAAACGGTGCATTAAAGGATATTCTATAAACCCATTTGAAGTAGAAAAAATGTAGCAAAAGTAATCTTTGTTATAGCCGAAATGAAAAACGAACAGGTGAAAATGCTGATATCCAGATTTAAATACAGGTGACTAACAGCTGTACATTGTCAATAAAAATGCTGAAGAACAGAAACATGCTGGAGCAGAATAGCCCTGAATCATGTTAATTTAAGCAAGATAAAACAGGATAAAAAAAACTAACAAATGTCAGGAAACCATACATTTCAAAGACTTGATATACATGCAGTACTATAAAACAACAAGTGCTATTTTTTGTATTGATTATGCAAAATGTAAATTAAGCCTAATAACTATGGCTCCATTTCCATTCAGCTTCATATTTTATTGTTTTTGTCAGATAGAGTAAAAAATATTTTACTAAACTATGGGGAAAACAACTGAGAAAGTGGGCCATTTTCTTCCTAAGATGTGATTAATATTGTACACCACAATGCTGTAATTCATTTAAAAAGAGTAATTCCAGCAAGACATTTTGGACTCATTAAGCTACAAAGCAGTTTATTTTGGCAAAAACCTGAAAGTCCTCTGAATATAAAAAGTTATCTGTAAATCCTGAGCTGCTCAATCCATATGAATTCAACCACAATCTGTGAATTCCAGAGTCTCCACATCAAACAAGTATGGGAATGAACTACACTACTAGATTCACCACAGTTTCTTATCAACATTAATCTTTTCACAGATTTCAACTGAACTGACTAATTGACAATAGCTGATCCAAATGTCTCATTTGACTGTTTTCACAGGGCAAGAACTATACATGAAACAATGTACATCTCCTCACTTATTCAATCATGCACCCTCCATAACACAAATTTACAAAATTTTAGATAACCTAGACAAAGTTTAATTGTCTTTAACACAAATTCTTTACAAACACAAGTACAAAAACAAACATATGTATCAGTTTAATGACTTCTGTCTATTTTCATCACAGGTCTACAATTTCAGTGCTTTCTCTCATTTGCTTCAGTTTTCTCTACAGTTATCTCTACCATTACAGTTGAAAGAATCCAAATTGCATGTCGCTATCCAGCATTTTGTCTTTCAAGTTTGACCATGTTTATCTTAAGCTGATAAAATGCGAAGAGTTAAGCATGGTAATTACTGTCATCTGGGATTTTTAAAGCCATACATGAACTACTTTTGAAAAGGCACAAAGTGGCCTTTTATACTATCTAAGGCAATGAGCCCCATTTACTGCTGAAATGCTAGCCCAACATCTGACAGCTATTCTGCTTGAAAAAACACATGCAAGAACTGCAGTCCAGTCAAATTAGACCAGGCACAGAACCAGACAGCAATATTCAGAAAAGTGCTGCCTCCTCATTTCACATATCAAATAAATTACATGGCACTCTTTTGACGAGAGAAAAAGAACTAGGAACAATGCGTCATCCTCCATGTTAAATATGTTAAACATACGAACAGGTCACGTTAGTATGATAAATCATCTCCTCTTCTCTAGCCCGAGATAAACTAAAGCTTTGGTTTTATACTGAAAGGGCAGGCAACAGACTGTTTATTTGAAATATAGCAAAGGTCTCTCATTTCTATGCTTTTTAAATAAAAAGAATCTCAGTAGTGAATTTTTACCTAGCAAATGCTGAATTTTTCTTTGCCCAAATTTCCAAAATTGTATTGATGGCTTCCCCAGCGTTTTGTTTATGGGAAATCATTGTGAAAGCACAGCGGGATACCAGTTCATACAAGAGAAGCCAAAATATTTGTTGACAAGAAACTACATCTGAATGGTCATTTAAATAGTTTAAAACGAGTGAAACCCATATTGTAGTTATTAAAAATGTTCCTTATGGCCACTTTCATGCCGTTGTGGGTGTTATAAAAAACTGATGGACAGGCTCCCTAAATGAATATGAAATTCTCAAGGTTAACCATGTGAAGCCCTGGCCAACTTCTGCAGTTGGGATTGTTGTTGAACACCTGTTGAACAGCAAGGGTGACACCAATCTGTGTACATGGCCTCTCCCTGTGGTGAAAAGGCAAGCCTGGGAGAGGTTACACCTAATTAACCACTTGCAAAAACATGTCATTTTTATTACTAGTGTTCAGTAAAATTTGGTGCTTGGCATCACAATTTCTGTTTAGGTTCCGCAAACACCCACATCACGAAACTAATTTGAAGTATAAATAGCACTGATAAGAATTCTTCAGTGTGAATATCTGGTATGGGTCACGTTTTTGCGTAAAAAAACATCAATCAAATAATTTCAACACTTCATCTGGCATATTTCCTTCGGTTTAATTTCATTTTAAAAGTTCATTAGGTACTGAAAAAGCTCAATGTATGTTGTAGTAATGGATTAGGCTGGATTTCTTATTTTTTAATACATTCCATGTGCCATATTAAAGCCATCAATAAAATTATATCATATATATAATTTGTATTTTTAATATTTTCCAAGACCTTCCCTTACAGTGGCTCGACTTCATAGGCACATATACAAGTCAAATAGAAAAGCAGTGCTCCAACAGAAACCCTGTGCAAGCCAATATCAGTTACGAGGGGATTTTAACTTATCACTACTGGTAGCTTTCTGATGATAAATGAGAAGAAAATGTCCCAACAAGCTAACACTAAGGCAAGGGTGCACTAAGTTCTGAGTAACTGCACTTATCCATAGCAACTATTGAGTAAAACAGTCATAAGTAATCTAGAAATTAGTTAAGGTTATTTCTATGTTCACTACTGACAGACATGAAAAATGAAAAAAATGTTAAGTGCATTATAAGCCAATGGCTTTGAAAGCCTATACTTTGAAAGAACACTTTAATCATGTCAAATATTCCTCACTTCTAATGTTAAGAAATGGAGATAAGAAGGCTACAAGTAGTCTAAAGTTAGAATTTCAAGTCTGCACTTTATGGAGGTCAAAATCGTTAAAACATTCAGAAAAACTACTTCCTGGTTTACCCGTGAGTAAAGATAAAAATCAGGGTGCAGAAAATGTAAAACAGTTATTGTTGGATACAAACTCCATGTCAACCAGTAATCCACCTGTTCTAACTCTAGAGTGAGATCTACAGTGCAGTTCAAGCACCCTTAGTACAGAAAGCGGATACACTGCCATATCATTAAGTGTATCATATCAACTTATCTTTTTCCTTTACTGCAGTTAAAAGGGTGCGAAATGTGGGATGACACAGATAAAGACTTCTATTCACAATTTTTGCAGGAAAATGTTACTTGGATTCAATTATCAAGCCATATTTAATAACAAAACCTTGCGTTTGTTAAAAAGAGCTGAACTGGAAGGAAACATTTTCTCAACCTGAGAGGAGAGAAAAAAAGACCGTTCACAAAGCATGCATGATATAATAATGCATGCACAACTCATATCTATCAGAAGACAAAACAACCAATTCATTTTTCTCCAGTTTACAAGATGATGGGAAAGTCAAGAGTGTGTTTATAGACAAACTTCTGTTTCAGATCTTTACTTGGAGTATTAGTGGCAAGAAGGTATTACTCAGTACCTATTTCAAGGAAGATAGTTCTTCTTTCAATGACCTTCTGAAAGCGTTAGCATTTTCCACTTCTTTGCTAATGAAGCATTAATTCTTAAGTGCTCACCAGATGGGACAATCAGAGCCCAGCTGAGCCAGTAACCATGACTCAGGAACCAAGAGGACACTTAGGAACAGTTATGAATCATAACTGACAGAGCTACAAACAGTTTGTAACACCAGATAAGCACAAGCAAAACACGGAGAGTGCAAAAGGGCAGCATGACCAATAACTGAGAAGATGAGTAATGATGTTTACTACAACTATAAAAAGTCTGATGTATTATTTAGTCAATGGCTGGTCAAAGCGGCACATTTTGATGTAGACCTTCAGTACAGAAGATGAAGGAGTTCCAGAAAGGGAGAAATCTATGTGTTTGGTGCAAAAACAAGCACGTCTCTGTTTTCAACCTCCAGTATGATTGTGGGCAGAAAAATGCTTAAATTCTTAGACACCATGACCAGTACTTCTGTTTTATTATAGCACAGTGAATGTTGAATAAGTGATTAATAATCCGGAAAGTCTGTCATAAGATATAATCACATTTCCCATCAGCATCACAAATATGGTGCATATAAATCAGTACCGGTTGAAATAAGGTGGAACAAACCATTCTATTACACAAATTAAGAAGTCTGTTAAAATGTAAAGTGTAACTATGTAACTGAAGTCGAGCTAAACTTCAACTGAATCAGCTCCAGAGTATAAGTTGCACTGTTATACCTGATCACAGACAGGAGCCATTGTGCAGAACAAAACAACAAATGAAGACTTGTATCGCATTATCATCAAGACATGGTTTTTTTGTAAAGGGAGAATGAGTACTATCCCTCTTTTGAAGGTAGTCTCTTTACTACACTTCCGTTAAAATAAAAATGGCATTTTTGTACAATTGAGCACTACAAACCTTTCTACAAAAAAAGTGAACAGTTTACCATGTCATATTCCATATAAACAAAAAAGAAAACATTTCTCAGAAATGGATAACCGTGCCAAGCTTGCACTTACCGACTCGCACTCCCTCAGCTTCTTCTGGGCACTGTCGAAGTCAAAGTTCACATAGAGACACTCCACAAACTCCGTAATTGGGTCCTTGTAAGTGTAAGACTCCTTAACAACAAGAATAAAGACTGTTAATCCAAGACCACTGGAGCCCCCAAACTCTTGCAGAGACGAAATTCTCTTTTAAACATGTGTGACATGTTTAAAGATGGTGATAACCCCCTCAAAATAAAATTCTTTAACTTTTTAGACACCTATTTAAAAATAACAACCATAAAAAAGTCAGTTTTAAGATGAGAAAGGCGAAATAGCACATTAATGTTGCATATAGGAGGTAGGCCTTAGTTTATAAAGTTAAAAACTGGTCACTGCTATTCAGAGATATAAGACATCTTAAGCTGTTTCAGGATGTGGAATGCTTTAGTTTGCAAAACAAAGAATTTCACTGCATTCAAAATAGAAAAGATTCAGATTCGTAGCAAAAATAAAACCTTCTTAACAATGTACCTCAAACTCTTGGGACATTGTTTACAGTTGCTGTACTTGAATTAGTTATTTCTTATTAAAACAAAGACTCAAAGCTCAGATAAAAGTAAAATTCAAACGTGATGGGATCATACTTTGAAAAACCTAATTTCTCTTCCAAACACAGTATTTAAAACCTTCAAGATAATAACCTTTAATGACCTCAGAATTTTCTCACACTCATATGCACATACACTTACACTGTTTGAAACATATACTGGGTAAAAGTAGTCTTTCAAAAAATTCAAAGGTATCCTATAACTTGCAAAACTAAATCTGAATTTAGGAACGGAACATCAGCTTGACCACACATTAGCTGGATTTTCTATTTCAATTTAGAATAATGTGGTACAAGCTACTTCTTCCTCTCACATTGTTGTAATGCAAATCCGAGGCATTATTAAGTTTGCACATACATACACAATGATCACTGACCCTAGACCATTGAGTTAACAGCCCAGATGTGCAATACGTTTCCAGTATCTCCAACTGAACTCCATTAATGACAGAAATAACATGTAACCCCAGGCAAGAACACATTGTTAAAAAGTGCGGCCCAAATTTACATAATTTACATGCTTCGAAAACCATTCAAGACAGACGTCCCGAGAAGACCCCAAGTGGGGGATGAAGAATTCATGAAAACATATTTAAATGATTAAATGAATTGGCTACATAGACAACGCCTATTTACATTTCAAAGCAGTTGACCTTATCACAGTTAAGGAACTACTGTACTGTAGCATTTATTGGCCATCTAAATAAAAGGTTACAAGAGGTTTAAATAAGAGGTTTTCAGGCTGCTGTGGTTAAGAGCAATATCCTGGTAAGCATTTGGAATAATATACAGTGGTATACAAATATACAACAAGGTACACAGAAGGGGAAAATATTATGATCTCCCTTGCACATTCACAACATGCCTCAAACGAATGCACACAGTGGCAAGGACAGTCCCTGACTTATGTAAATCCAATTTGCGTAAAACGTTTCCATAGAGTAATAACAAAAAGTCTCAAAGAGCACGAGAAATACTTGACATGCAGAGGAATGAGGCAGACAGCTTGTGCTCTGAGGTCAGCATCTTTAGTCCTGTTATGCACTGCCTCATATCTTCTCACCTGTTGTCTGGAATCGTTTCTACAGAGCGTTTGCAGTGCTTCCCTTTGAATCATAGCTGATAAACATTCTAGCACCGTGTGTGAAAAAGTGAGGAGTAATTTGGTATTCCAGTGCTGTAACATTTCTAAGAGCAAACTTACCATAGTGTTCTGACTTCAGAAATTTCAACTTACATAAGGGTTTGTGGAACATGAACCTAAGGAAGCATCTGTATTTGGTTTGAGGAGTATTAGACTAACTTATTGTACATTCAACAGTCTGTACAATACCAAGATCTCCATCCTACAGTTAACTAATAAAGCCGGTGCAGTACGCACTCACTATCACACACCATTAACCCAAATAACACCTCAGCACTTCTTTCCAACAAGTGTGGAAAGCATGCCACATCCTGTTCAAGTTGTTCTTACTGCTCACAGCCGAGTCCCAAAACATTTAGTGGCATTCCAAATATTTCAGCCCGTGAACCTAACCACCTGTCTACATACTACCTGGTAACATACTTATAATGAAACTTCCACATTTGTCTAAATAAATCATATGCCATATCAGAGTGCGAGAAGCACTAGATAAATAGTTTTGTCTCTAAAATAATTCATCTCAAGTATTTGCCTTTATACTGTAGCCAGCAGAACTGCACATTTTGTACCAAAACAAATCCTCTCCCCACCCTCACAACCTGGATGATAAGTTATGTTAATGGTATTATTATAGGATACAATTTTAAAATAATATTTCCATCAAAGAAGAGCTCTAGGAATGTTACAGATGGAATGCATTGGGAGAAAAGCACCTGCAGAGCACATCAGCTGGCCGGAATGTACTGGCTCCCAAGGTAAAGAAATTCAGTACTAGCTTACAAATTGTTACCATCTTTAAAAAAAACCACTAACCCACATTTTCTAAAAGAGGGCTGTTTTGTCGGCTGACAGCAACCTAGGCTTACTTTTTTGTCATTTCGCGTTTCAGCCTTTGCCAAGTCTTTGGGTTAATTTCAGCAACACCTGGGCCGCTGCACATATGCAGATGAGTCAAGGGATTCTGCGCTGAGCTGCTACCCACAGGGTAGCGAGGCAAGATTGAACAGTAACGCTAAAAAGACATTTCCATCACTAGCTCTCAAACTTGAGAAAGCATTTTAAATATGCTTCTACTATCTTTTTGGAGACTGAATTTCAATTCTAGGAATGATTAAGGATTATGTTGAAATATTTCTGTGAACAAAGATAAGAAAGATTACAATGATGACATTTGGCCCATCAAGCTAATTTGGTAGTAGCCAAATCTAACCAATGGTCTCATCCAGTCATTTTTCGAAGGAAGCCAGGAAATGGTCTTTGAAAACAGGACTGAATAGCTCGTCACATATTCCTAAAATCCCAGTTTTCAGCATCAAGTGGCATGCCATGGTACTGATGCATTTGATTGTTTGACAAAAGAATCATAGAAAAGACTAGACTAACGGCTCACCACTGACATTATGTTAAGCGAACATCCATATGCAAACAAACACAAATGACTTCTAATTTCAGTTAAAAAAAACAGCTCCAAGGTTACACACCTTAACTGCTTTTTTTGATTTATAGGTTAAAAAACAGCATGGTGTTCACTCACCTGCTGGATAACCTTAACCAGATCTTTGAGGACTTGCCTCCGTTTTCTTACGTCCTTGTTTGTGATCACAGCTGTTGTCAAGTAGCGGAGGATGTGTGGACACATGGTCTGTATGGCATTTAGATACCTGTGAAACAAAAACATGCTTTAGGCACAATCTGGAGTACTATTTTAACTACAGCAGCACTGTAGCTAAAAAAAGTTTACATTTTTTTACATTCACAATTCTGCTTTAAGCAATTGTTAACCGCATAAGCTAAAAAAAATATTAAAATATCAAGGCTCTAAAGTAACCATAAGCCTTTCCAAACATGACAAGTACTATCACGACAGATTTAAATTCACTCATGATCATGACCACACAGATAATACTGCACAAGAATAAACTGAGAAGCTGTCAGATGATACATGTGCACTTAATTTAGAGAATGCAAAACAATGGCTACTTTTACATTGATTAGAATAATAATTTAATCCCAGATCTACTCCATTACTCCTGCCAAAATAGAAAAGTGATATGGCCCAAGATCTACAAAAAGGTGTTCAGGTGTCAGCAGAAACTTAAAAAAAAACGAAATGGAGAAGGAGTTTAATAGTCGGGTCATGGTACAGAAACCCTTTGGAAAAACAATCAACAAGAAACAAAAAGCATCAGACACAAAGTACTACCACGAGTCAGCTTTTTCCCCCCCAAGCAAAGTCATTTGGTCTGACACAAAGTCTGGTATGACACGAGCCTAACTATTTCTGTGTGGCTCAGATGGGATAATAACCGAGCTGAGGAAGCCACCAGAAGAATTTCAAGAGGAGTGTCCTCAGCCCACCATGAAACACAGAGGGAGTGAAAAACATGTTCGTGGATGAAGGGAGATCTCAGAAGTTGTACAACTTAGATGGACAGTGAAAAGCAAAAACAAGGGAAAGTCTGAAGATAAATATTTTACAAGCATTGTCACTGTTTTTCCGTTCTTAGATTGGCAATGTAAATGCAAAACTCAAATGTAAACTTGCAACATGCTAATTTGATATAAAGAAATTGAGTTGTGTCTCAATTAATACTATCCTATACAGAGGATGCCTGCACCCTGCCATTGCTATTGTATGGCCATAACTAGTGCACATTCTTCTAAATAGAAAATCAGCAACTCAATTTGAGTTGATATGGTAAGTAAATTAACTTGGGATAACTTCCTTGGCACATACCTTTCAGCAATTTATGCCTTTTAATGTTTTAAAAGCAAGTCACCTTTTCACGGCCTCAACAGCCAAGGGAACTGGAACTGCTAACAGCTGATTTCCCAGAGATTTGGCCTGCTCAAGGTCCACCTGGACACTACACAGTTCACACCAACTTTCATTACATCCCAAAGGTGCCCCATAAAAACACTGGTACTTGATATCAAGATTACAGGCCAGCAGCCATATCACCCTGCAACGCGCAACTGGCAACCCACTGAAGCTCAGCAGGTGTGAGCCTGGTCTGTAGCTGGACGGGAGACCTCTTGCGAAAGAATAAGGTTGCTGCTGGAAGAGGTGTTAGTGGGGCCAGCAGGGGGCGCTCATCCTGTGGTCTTCAAGAGTCCTAATGCCCCAGCATAGTGACGGGGACACTATATTGTAAAACGCGCCATCCTTCAGATGAGACGTAAAACCGAGGACTTAACTCTCTGTGGTCATTAAAAATCTCAGAGCGTTTCTTGAAAAGACTAGGGGTGTTACCCTGGTGTCCTGGCCAACTTTCCCATTGGCCCTTACCAATCATGGACTCCTAATAATCCCCATCTATAAACTGGCTTCATCACTCTGCTCTCCTCCCCACTGATAGCTGATGTGTGGGGAGTGTCATCCAGGTGGGGCTGCACAGTGGTAGTAGTGGAGGAGGGGAGTCCCCATTACCTATAAAGCCCTTTGAGTGGAGTGTCCAGAAAAGGGCTATATAAGTGTAAGCAATTATTATGATTCCTGGCTCAGAAGGCCAGCTACACTCAGTACAACACAAAAGAAATTGATATAAAAAAATAAAAACAGAAGGACACCAAGAGAAAGCATTTATTTTAACATCTTAAAAGAGGAACTCCCATCATATTGTGTTTAAAATTCCATTATCCGTATATGTCTGAATATGATGCTTACTCCTCCAACACAGCTTTCTGCCCTCTTGAATAATATGCAGCTTCATCTCAAAAGAGGGCTCTGACATTGTGTGATCTTGGATGAGTCACAGTAGTATACACATGATTCAGACAAATCAAAATGTCACAGGTATACAATTTATAGAAAAAGATGTAATAAAGCTGCTCTGGAGACTGCTACACTAAAATCTCAAGAATGCAGCTGTATAATGTGGAGCTGTATAATGTACAACAGTAGAGGATTTTTTTGCCCGAAACACTTATGTTAGCAAAGTGCACAGTTCCTATTTCATGACACATCTGAAAAAATGAGACGCAAAACAAGTAGAACTTGGCTTCCACTCTCCAAGAGTGTGTATAATATTACAGACATATTATCTTTCCTCTTTGCACCTACATCATAGGTCATCTAGTGACAATATTCTTTCTCTAATTGCCCTTGAACCTGGCTAGATCAGACTGCCCGATACCCAATCTTGGGTATTGCTTTTCTTCCAAACCATTTACTTTTTGTTTTGTTTTTCAGCACATAAACAAAATCCCTGGCAGAGTGTAAAATTCAGGTGAAGCTGATGTCACAATACATGATGTAATCAATTTTTTTTAATACCAGAGTATCATCCACAATATTGTTTCATAGTCAAGGACAATAATCTGATACATCGTGGAATTTACATAAAGGTTTTCCAATATTGTGTAACCGTAATTCCTCAGTGTTTTCATGAGTCATATAATAAGTACACCCATTTTACCAAGGACTAATGCTTGCTGCTGAAATGGAAGCATAAAGACCAACTACATGTCTTAAAATTGCTGTATATGTTTTTAAAATGTATCCACATAATACCCTTGTACAAGAAGCTTAACATTCCCGTATTCGTGTAGTTTCCACCCTCTGCCAGCATAGCATCTAGAAAACCACAGCATGGTGTTGGTGGGCTGGGTAGGTGGGTGGCTTAAATACTTCCTATGAACTAAATAAAAGATCCATAATGCAAAAAGGAACAGCATGTCACACCATTTACAAGCCTGATTATGGAAATTCAGAAACCTACAAACAAAAGCTGGACACTAGTCTATTTTTACTATTGACATGGTTCAAACCTGAAGAGGGGCAAGTTAGGAGCTGCTTCAACTGGCTACCAAGGAAGAAAGAAAGATGGGCCTAACAGCTGAAAGGCTGTTTTTACTTTCTACTTTTCAGCCCAGAACTAATCTTTACCTTCACCTGTTCAAACCTCAGGCGAAGGATATGAAAAGGCAAAAGAGGCAATTTACAAATATTTGGTATGTCTTTGAGACCCAAAAGTCAGAATAAGGACATCAAATTATCAAGTACCACAGAGAGAGAAACGAATGTGGGACCAAATATTTCTAACAGGATCCTTATATCAATAGATTACGCACATTGTCATCATCCAAGCTCTTGTAGTACCAGTACACAAGTTGGGAAACGTTGAGACACAACTGTGAGATCTCCCTACCGAAGAGTACCGGCCAGAAGCAAAAGAGTTAACAGAACTTGATGGCAGAGTCCAAACAGCAAATTAAAACAGCCTGTGACGGGGCTAAGAAGTCTAGTAATTTCAGTGGTATTCTTCAGAAGCCAGCAATGCAGTAGGCGGACAGGGCCTCATGTGGCCTAGGCAAGGTCTCTGCCAACACGTCAACATTCAGAGATTCAGATCCATTGGTCACTTAACCTGGATGGCAACCAAAGCAAGCATGTTCAAGTGAAGGTCTTTTTGGAAAAAGTATGTGGTTTTACTGTGAAACTGCAAATCACAGTGAACTGCCACTGTCCAGACAGCTGTATTGAGCTGCTCAAGAGTAATTACTAAGCAGGTTTCACTGTTTTTTCTTCCCTTTTTCTCATATGCTACAATAAAAAAGCATGTTCCTTCTTTTTAAACAGGAAACCAAATACTTGAGCCTTCTGTGTTGTGGTAGCCAGCGTGATGGTTCACATTAAGTATAATCATCTGTTCAATAACATTAAACTGTTCTCTTAAAAAAAGGTATAGTTTAAAATCCCTATAGCTCACCATGTCTTAAGAAATGATCCCATAATAAATGGACACATTCGACATCCAAAGGTATACTTTACAATTATCAAACAAATGAGCCTCATAAGCAGGAATACTTACAATGTAAGCAAACACAAATCAATAATTACTTCAGAGGCAAAGTTGGTTTAATGCACTCAGACATCTGGACAATATACCTGGAAACCCCACCACTCACGATGATCACCAACTAATATATTTTTAAAAGACTTTTCTCAGTTGACATCATTACTTGGAGGTCAACAGCAGCTGCCAATGGAACCACTGGAAGTGCTATAACACCAACCACAATTTAAACCCATCACTGCTCTGCCAAACTCCTGTGAACCAGAGTTCAGGCCGCTTCAACTGCAGTTCTTCAAGCAGCAAAAAAAAAAAAGACCTCTCCAATTACTTTTCAAACTTCAACTCTTATTGGGAGTGCTGCACGGGAAGATGCTGTCTGGCACGTATGCGTAGTGGGCTTACAGTGACGACTTCAATGGCTTAGCGTTACTTACTGTGGCTGGTAAAGGAAGAGGTCGATGATGTTATCTCTGCCTTTAGGATGGTTGAAGAAGACAAAGAGTGACCAATGGATCAGCCAAGTCCTCTGCTGGAGAGACTGGAGTGGAGAGCTGACAGACTGGTAGGAGTAAAAGAAAATACATTAAGGCAATACAATTTCTTTAACCGTACAATACAATTGCTTTTAAGTAAGGAGTACTTAGCTGGAGCATATATGGTCCAATTAAATTTCATTTTTTGGCATACAGCGAAAACTAGTTCATGGGGATAAAAACAGAAGCCAAGCAAGACAACTTCAAAATTTACATTGTTATCAATGGTCTCCTTCAGCCTTGTGAGGTCTTCCATTGCAGCTTCCCAGTTCTGCATTAGGATCTCAGAGGCCAGCTTGCCCCATAAGGAGCTCAGAGCATTCCTGTCTGTAGAGGGGACCTGAAAAAAACAAGCACATTTCAACATTCAAAAAGAAGGGGCTACAGTTTTTTTTCACTGCACTGAACTGATGTTTTTCAGTGTACTGGTGCTAGAAATGAACAAAGCTAAACAGATGCCATGCATTTAAGAAGTGATTTAAAACAAGTGGATAAGAGCTTTAACTGATTAAAGCTTTCCATCTAACATTTAGGAACAAGAACTATTAAACACTTAACAGGCCCCAAACAATCACAAACCCCTGTGGCAACTTGCACCAGTTACTGGTTTAAAAAAAAAACAACTTCTAAACTCAAGAATGACCTTGGGTTTAAATGCCCATTTCTGAATTTTGAGGACTTGTACTTCACACATTTTCACATTACCAGTATAGTTTTAGATTTTAGCTGTACAAGAATAACCCAAAACAAGTTTAAAAAGCTTTAGCAGTCTGAAATTAGGCCAGTTGTTCAGCCATTTGTTTTCAAATTAATAAGTGCTCTGAACAAAGCATGCCTATTTAGAATGTAAAGTAAAACACTAAATTGACAAAGAAAATATGGAGAAAGGAAATATTTGTAAAATCCACCATATATGGAATGGGCATTGACCAAATTCAATTGAATTTTTTTTTTATCTGATTAGTATCTATTTTGGCTTATAAAGGTTAATTTTGGCTCTAAAAGTTGACACAAAAAGGAAAATTTAACCTGCCTTAAAAGATTACTAGACATTTTTTTTTTAATATAAAGCCTTTAGGTCTTATTTGTATGCTGAAACCTGCTACTCAATCCCATCCAAGCTCTGGCAAGATCACAAATTTTCCTGAACCTGGCAAATCAGTTATAAACATAACATGGTTTTAAAAGTAATTTTGCCATTCTTTTGATTTTTCCTTTATGAATACCAGGTACTACAATACCATATGATTGTGCAGAATCCACCAAGACATCACTCAAGAAGACCTCCAAGGAAACCCCAGAATTCATTTGGATTCATCTGGCCTTCTCATGACCTCAGACAACTTCTTCCAACACTCATTTTTTTTTCCTTTTGGTAGTTTAATGAAGTGCATAGCTACTAGTTGCAAACACATGTGCACAGCTTTGATCACTCATGGTCTCAAAAACCTTACAGTAGAATAATTAAGGTGTCCACATCTAGCCATCTAAACTAATGATGTCCCCAAAACAGTTAATTGAACAGATATATTTCCACTTCTGAAGAGATTAAGTCATTAATATTAAACTCATGTTCTCCAATTTGGTATTTTGAACACACTTTGCTTAAAAGAAATGTACCTTCATAAATGAATCCATGCAGTTTACCTTTCACACAAAACAGAAAACAGAAATGTATACCTGAATAAGCTCCAGGGCATAAGCTCTATTTAAAAACTAAATAAGCAACAGGTCAAACCCAGGTTTCAACTGGTCTGTTTTGATTACTAAATGATTATGATCTTCTTGTCATAGGTACAAAAATCCATAAGACAGGACAGGAAAGCTTCAATTATGAAATATGCCAGACACAATGAGCTGCAGCAACTGGCAAGTCAAGATGGCATCATGATGTCCACTGTGGGGAAAAACAAACTTCCAAAGACGCCTTAAGGCAGGCAGTTTTGGAGAGAGAAAAAAGCATTACCACATGTTAAATTTGTGTTTCATGGCCTTCCTCAATACACGCAACAAAAACACGTCCTGAGCCGTTCCCTGTTTTCTGGGGTCTTTGCTGGAGTTGAAATGGTAAAATGCACTGGAAAGAGCAGTTCAGTCAAACTCCTATATTCTGTTCACTCCAACACTTCTCAAAAGAGATTTCATTCTTCTGCTTGCAAAATTTAAAATGGACCCTTCCAAAAGTCATGTTCGTTGAGTTTGGTAGCACTGGACATACAAAATTCTTTAAAACATAACTTTCAAAAACACAAGTGCCACTGGAACTGTACATAGTTTTGATTCTAAGACTGGGTTAGAAATACAGCTACCTTTATCTGTTGTGCAAAAGAAAATGTATTAAAGCTGTATTTTTTGCAAAATTCTTGCATCTTGCCAAGCCTCAATAGTTTTCGAAAAATATTAAATTTCCAAAATGACAGCAATTTCACTTCTGTTCAATACGCATTACAGTTCTAAGTCAAAGTCATTAATGATTGTCAAACTCTTCATTGAAGAGTTTATAATTATGTGCAGCTGAAACAAAATATATAGAAGCATGTGCAAGAGGATTTGTTTTAGAACCCGCTTCATAAATTTAATGGCTTGAGTTTGTTCTGGGTTTAAAAAAAACTGATAATCAAACACATTCAAAAATTCTCTGCTCAAGAAGAAGGAGGCAAGAGACCACAGCTCAAAAACTAAACTTATTCCAAGAGATCTGCCTTAAACCGTAAAGTGATCTTTGTCGAAACAAGTTAAGACGATGTGAAATGAATTGAAAAATGTAGAATTCATAAAAGATGGATATTAGGGGAAAAACAGCTGTACTGCCAATATAAAGGTCACCATTTCGTTTATAAAAGTGTTTGTTTTTCATTGGAAGCTTGTGCGCACTCTTTTTGGCTAGACTCCATGTCATTATGGTTGGCTCTGCACACTGACTTGCTTTCAGTGGTGGCTATGCTAGAATAATTTCAATACCTGGATTTTCCAGCAGTTACCTTGAGTTTCCATTTGTTAGCAAAATGGCACATTCGCTGACTGACCAGCAACAATAAATTTACTGTGCTGGAAATCCAACAGGACACTCAATCTTTATTCTCAACATCCAACCCCAGCATTAACCAATGATATGAATAACTCCCTCTTTTCATGCCCTTGTAACAGTACCTTTAGGTCTGAATTTACAAGCTTTCACTTTATCCCCTTTACGTTTCCCACGTAAATGACTTACAGTATTCCTGTTCTCTCAGAATGTGGTGGTTTGTAGAGATGGAAGACCCAGATAAGGAAAGAGCAGGTATTCAATATGGGATTTACACTGATTAAATTTATTTTACATGAAAAGTACTCTGCATTGTCAAAGCCGGGGAAAAGCATTAGATTGCAAACAGCTACGCACACTTTGCACTTGCTTATGTTAGCAGTCCATCTGAGCTCTGACGATGCCAGAAACACAAAACTGAAACAAAATCAAAGTAGTTGAGATGCTGGTCACTTAAGAAATCTGAATTAAGTGTAAGTCTGCATTAATATACACGTGGAATTTAAAGTCTTATAAGAGAAATGAATTGACTACACAACCTGTAATATTCATCAGTTAGCTCGCAGTTTCAGGAATTCACTGCAATGAAAATGCTTCAGGTTAGCAGTCACATATAGCAGTGATTTCCAGTCCTGGATCCAGGGAACCACCGTTTCTTCCAGTTTCTGCTTTAGACAAGGTCTTAATCACAGGCTAATTGATTTCACTTTTCCATTTCAGGTATATTTATACATTTGCTTTCAGTTCTCCAAACACTGTAGTTGGTATCAACCCAGTTTGCATTTCAGAAAGCTTCCACGATCTCCATTCATTCACACATTTAGCCCAAAATTAAACTACCTGAACTAGTCAAGGAAAAAAAAGAATTGTAGGAATGTGTGACAATGTCGATCCCATCAGTGTCAGTTCATCATAAAATGATCACCTGCTCACAGCCGTTCAGTCAGAAAGTTAAAAAAGAAAAGGTAAACTAGTTCAGGAAAGTGTTTAAAGTTCAGGGAACAATACACCTGAACTCAGGTGTTTCTGAAACACAGGACTTTGTGGAGTTATCGAGCAAACCAAGAATCTAAACAAGCAAGCAGAGTACTTAAAAGCATCAATTGTCATTAAAGGCTAACGCAGAACACCGTCAGTCCTCAGGACCAGGGCTGGGCCCCACTGCTGTTCAGGACCTCAGTGGCCCATTACATTTACAGAACCACAGAGGCACCAGAACCAGAACTATTTCAAAAGCCTAAATTTGACCAGATGAATTAAAACATGCCCCAAGACGTGGATCACATGAGGCGGTGGCACAATAGCTCATTATGTACAGGCGGGACAGTACATTTCCAGATTATCTGGCCTCTTCCACTTTAACAACACGAAACAGAGGGGCTATGAACAACAAAGACTTGTATGACAAACAGCAAATATTGTAATAATAATGATAAGCACGCAAGACCAGAACAAACTCTGGCTTGCTTTCTAGAACAGACGCTGACAATATTGGTAATATAAGTTACGGCTTTTTCTGTGTGCAACATCGCACGTCATGCAGATGTGTTAGCAGAAGTCAGTTCAGCAAGCAGTGGCATCTCATTTGACAATCTTTTTTTTTTGATTCAGCAGCCTTCCGACAACTCCCCCAATCAACAGTCATTTACAGTGAAGACAAGTAGCTTAGAATTTTACTGTAAACTATTTATCTTTAAATAATGTAGTATTTTCTGGTGTTCCCTGTTGCAATGTACGACCAGTAAGTGTCTTAGCAGAGCCATATCACAAGGGGTTTGCACCTCTGACACTTGGTGTGTAGCTCGTCTTTCACATATTTTTGATGGCAGTGGGAAAACAGCCACAAAACACCAGAACCGAGCAATGAATCCTTTGTTTATAGAGGATATAAGTACACATGTGTAATGCAGATACTGCCAGTACTCTCAATGAACTGCAATTATCTTCCCACAGACCTACTTTCATATTATCTGATTTCCAAAGTATTCAACTAGTAAAAAATCTTTAATACACGACTAAAATGTATTCTTTTCATAAGTTCAAGAGCATTCACTCAATCAGCATTCACTCGAACAGAGGACAAACAGCTGCTTTACAAACACTGAGCCATTTTTGCTCTCCATTTATAGAGTAATTAAAAAGAAACAGAATATATACTTAACTGTAGTATAAAAAAGAGGTAGATCATTTTAAAGAACAGTGCATGTCGTACACTTTCCCAGATTAACCTAAAACTGTCACAATCAAAAACATTAGGAGCTAAAACAGCTCCAACAGGACTTTTACCTTACTATCTATTATTTATGTGTCGGTTAAATTGATCTTTTATTTGTAATAAATCTTAGTCTATTATGAATGTTAGAAGAGAAAAGGGAGCCTCCTGACTTTCATCAACAAGACCCTCAGTTTAGCAAACGGGACTGGAGAAAATATAAATCAGGGAACTTTATCATGAACATTTTGTGCGTGAAACGTGCACAGAAATAAGACAACCTTAAATTATGACACTAATTTAAAAAGGAAAAATTACTTGGGCATCGCAAGGACATCAGATTAACTTACAAAGGTTAGTTTTGATCCAACAGCTGTGCAGGTCTGACAGGTACCTATTTTTGAAATGTATGTTTATAAAGTAAAAAAGGGGGTCAATCTAGTATAGTAAAGCAAAGATCCTCAGTGGAACAACATGCACTCACCTACTACAACAGGTGACCATGGAGAACTTTTCCTTTGACATGTACAGTACCTTAGAAGCCCTTCCAGTGACTGTGGATCACTGTTAGCTGAGAATGTCCAACCGCCATTACAAAAAGTGCTCCCAGCACTGCCAAACACAGTTGTCACGGTATACCGGTTTCATGGTTAACCGCGATGTGGACTCAAGCAATTCTGAAACCTTCAACATTTTTTTTATACCACATTACCAAGCTGACGGTTTACCGTGGTATGAATAAGTAAGCGACACGTTTCCAGCCCCATTCCTCTTAGCCTGCTACAAACCCAACATTTATGAGCTTCAAACTCGTGCACTGTACATGCCAGCTTATTTGAAAGCAGAGCAGTGAAACGGTCTATGTGATCCTAGCCGGAGCTCCAGTGCCCCCCTCAATGAAGACCGCCATCATGTGACGGGAGTCTTTCCTGTTGTTGCAGCAGACGGTTTGCCAACTGTCCTCCTTGAAAAGCAGTATCCTATATTTAAATTGATATATGGATACAGGCTTATATAGCTGACTTAACACTCCAATAAGAGAACGCATCGTGCTACTCGCCTAACAATGGCTTTTTAGTGGGGAATAATCCCAAACAGCACAGCAGCAATTCGCAGGAAAACATTCACCACAGGTGTACAGTTTGCTCTGGTCCCACCACTAGCCACACACGCTACTATACTACAGACGAGGGGTGTTAAACTCATTTGCTACGGCAAGCCAGGTTTGATTTAAATATACTTCAAATGGTTACAATATGCCATAAATTATGCAACTCTTAGGCAAACGATTGCACAGTATTTATAATGTCTTGCATACAGCCTTTTCTCAAATGGAGATGTCCATTTGTAGTTCCGCACACAGATTAATCTCTGAGAGCCATCACTGTGTGCTGAAACTCACGTACTAAAAAAATCTTAGGATGGTCATGTTTCATTTCCAGTTAAATGTAAGGCTAACAAGATCATCAAATTGGCATGTGTGCAATTCCAGATTATACATTTCCAAGTTGATAAAATATGATAGTGGTTTTAAGATTAATTTAGTGTTGCTAGTTACATGGATGACCTTTGTAGTGGGGCTTTCAATCAATCAGGGTAAAATTGGCAATAAATTAGGAAAATTAATACATCTTTTATCACAAGCTCAGATGAATGAAAAGGCACCTGGGAGAATGACCAATGGCTGTAGAAGTTTGTAAAAAAAGACAAGGAAGTATATTTATTGCAGACATGTCACTGCACCTGTGAACTGCCTGGGTTAAATCTTCTGTTGCAAACCTTTTAAATTCTCCTATAAATAACTCCCAAATATTGAACAATGCAACACCCCAATATCGTGGAGAGTTTTGCGGCTCATAGAGCATCACGCAGGACAGAAAAATCAAGACCTCACAAACATCAATCATTTTAAGCCACAGTAACACAATTTCCATCTGAATCCAACACAAGAAACAAAAACATGACCACCAGTATATCTCAAGGACTGCAGGGAGCAAAGAAGAAAAAACGAACAATTTTGTTTTCCATTTTTAAGTTTGGATGATCACTTGCTGAATCTCGCCATCACCAATTTAAAGAAAAATCTGGATGGTTCGACGCTATCTTGGCAAAGGTAACAAGCAAAGCTATTAAATAACTAAAATTACTGCAGTAAACATCATGAGAGCATTCGGTATCAATGAGACTTTAAACTGGCATTTACCATTTTTCTCATCTTTCAGTGATGCCCTCATTATCCTAGAATATGGTAGGGAAATGTAGTTTCTGGCATATGGGACTTGTTAAGATTGCACACCATATTCCAGTTAAACTGTTCTCATACAATATTTTCCAAAAATCAATCCGATAAAATAATTAGAAAACCAACCTGAAGTAACCAAGCAGTCTTTAATTACTATTATTCAACATCATACTACTATAACAATGATTACCGGTGTTCCAAACTTTGATACTTCAACAAACGCTTCAGCTCCAAACGTTGCACATTTACTTTCCTTTTGGTTTATTTAAGTTCACTCTCTTCACTAGAGTAAATGGGCAGGAACTTGTCCAGAAACCTTCAAAACTACTTGCCGTTTTTCTAGTATCTAATGGCATTGTTGCAAAGTCTACAATAAATCCTTTGCTGACGACACCTGTGTAAAACTGTAAATTGTTCTTAAACCAGCACAACGTTCTGAAAACAGTGCTTGGGGCCACAGGTTCAAATCCTGAGCACTATCTGCGGGTAGTTTGTGTGTCTCCACTGTGTTTGTGTACATTTCCCCCGGGTGGTCCGGTTTTTCCCCCCCACAGTCATACAGACATACTGGTAGGCTTGTGTGCATGTCTCAGTTTATGCCTATGTGTGCCCTGCGATGGACTGGCAACCCTTGCTTGCCGAGACAGCTTCTCTGCATTGGGTGAGGCAGTTGGAAAACAATGAATGGATAGATGGATCTCCACTATTTTTTGGTTGCAAATGCCTTATGAGTGGACTGATGCATCCCAAAAATTAAAAATTAATTAGGTTTGGCTATTTCAAACAGCCTTTCATAAACATTATGTAAAAAGTTGCATTATATGGCAGTATGGTGATAACCACAACATTTATGTTTTATGTTTACATGACGCACTAAGCACTATGAGATAGTGACCTTAAATCATTAACATTTGTTTATCTATTTAAACCATTTTATGCTCTGATCCGTAAATAAACATCTATGTGAGCACCAGTTTTATTTTAACTTGGATTAGTGTATAAACTGCTATCTGACCACATAACATTTGATATCACAAACTACTTCCATTGGAAAAGTTTATCTTAACTTTCTTTAAATGAACAACTCAGAGGTAATGCAACCACAAATGTATCACTTTTACTAAAAAATCAGAAGCAGAAGAAAGTGGTTCACTAACAGATAATTCATTGACATTTGGTTTTTATACTGGCGCAAAGTAATTACCTCTTTGACAACTCGCACTAGGAGGGACAAAGACAGAAACCTACACTTAAAACATTACCACTCTTTGCCAAAAGCTGCCTATCGTATATAATCAGAATGAATAACAACATGTAACGTACATGCTTAAATTACTGATCAAGAACTATAATTTCTTCACTTAGCCTAGGAAAGTGAAAAAGACCAGGCAAGTTACAAACCAAACCGTGGCTGAACGCAAATTCTGCCAACAAAAAAGTAATCGGTGGCATTTCTGTACAATCGTTCTAGGTAGCAAAAGAACAAAAAGCATCTTGTCGTTTTGGTTTTTTAAATGCTGTGTTATACAAATGCTAAGTACATGAATAATATTTTTAATTTATGGTACTTGGCATTGTCCTATACTAAAGAAGCCACATCATAAAAAAAAACAACCATTTATGCTCATGCTGGGAATTTTTTTTCTGAACTAGGGTTTCCAAGAGAAGCCTTAGCTGAAAGTTTTGCTTGTCCATTAGACAAAGACTCATTAAATTTAAACACAGCTGATGGCGCCAATTTGTAAATAGCAGTCTTAAGTGGTAAAACTAATTGGCTCCGTCCTTTGTGTTGAGATCTTGAAATTTGTTTTCAAACATTTCTCATTCATAAAGACAATACTGTGGTTTATTTTAATAGCTCTTACTCTTTAAGCCAAAATCATATTGTGTTTTGCGCTTCAATGTGCCAACTTTCATGTAACGCAATCTTAAAAACTGTTTAAATAGAAATGACAATGACTCTTCACTGAGCAGCACTTGGTTACAGCGTTGATTTCTTGACAAGTCAGATTTCTGACTTTCTTAAACACTGTGAAGAGTGATGAGGTACTTCAAAATACCTGACCCGCTAAGAACCCATTCATTATTAGAGCTATTGTACATTGGAGAAGCAAAAAACATATACTGACAAGTTCTTAGGCACCATAACAGTGTATTATTTTCCAACAATTTCATAAGAAGCCTGCTCTCATGTAGCATTTTTTAAAAAAAAGTTAAGTTTTAAAAGTCCTTACCAGAACACGGAAGAAATAGAGGTATTCAGCAGCTCCAGAGTAATTTCCACATTCATACTGGAACTTGGCATATCTGTACAGGGTATCCAGATACTCCTGACGGAACTATAAAGGAAAATTCAGGCAGGAAGATGACAATGAGCCTCCGAAGTAAAAGAATCCTGGTAGCCTCTACAGAAATGATCTTGATACAATGAAAAGAAAGCACACTATAAATCACCCAAAATGGTGATCCTGAACACTGCACTTCTGATAGTCGTAGACTACTGAAAACATCCAGTTTTCTTTAAGAACGCAGCAAGCTGGCAGTAAAAAATACATTCAGGGAAGAATACAGTCGTTGGCATTTATGTTGTTTAAGGGCACTTTTAATAATCTATGCAGGTCAAAACAATTTGCCTAGAATTACCTATCCGTTTGCTCCAATTTAGGTGCATGATCCTACCTTACTGTATACCAGTGCTAAACCTAAATCAACATTCAAAGTAAGCTTTGGGATGAATAAGGCCATACAATCCTGCCTTATGGACTGCGGGGGAAAAAAAAAAAAAAGTATTTTAATGAGACTGAGTGTTCTACAGAAAAAGGTGAACAAAGCAGAAAAGCTCTTTGAGCAGAAAAAGTGCAACATTAAGAGGTGGCACCAAAAAGACAAATGCTTAGCACAGTATTTAAGATATGAAAATGAGTTTGGTTTGTCAGCTGGCCACATCAGGCTGCATTTGCTCTAGCTTTTATGCAATTACGCAATCGTGCCATCAATGCAGTTCTTGAAGGCGAGGTTAACTTTGTTGAAAGGCTTGCTAAAACACCCACCTACACAAAAACCCACAAATTCGCCAAGATTTAAAATAAGGACTTAAAGAAAATTAAAACTAGTTTACAAATATTTGTAAAGTTGCAGCTGAACATGGCGTTGTGATACAGGATTTTGTGTTTATTTAAACTGAAAGGTCTGGTGGCAGGACCTAAAAGCTTTGACAGACTCACTACTATGGCACTTGTTCTTGAGCTCTTGTATAACCAAGAGGAACCAGGTCAGTGGCGGGCAGACAGCAAGAAGCACTGAGGAAGGGCGTTAAATGAATATGAAATTCTTGCATTTTTGAGGCAAGACCAAATACTGTCTAGCTGTTTTGTAACAGCCACACAATGTAAATATCTACAACAGTCTAAAGCTTTGGAAAACCAAGTATACTAGGCTGTGGGAAGTCTTGATTACCCACCCACCCCCAACATCCAGTTCAAATACAAGTCACGTACAGGATAACATTAAAAATACATGTGAAGAAACCAGGAAAGCCTACTTACATTGTGCTTCTCTGCCAGATAGTCAAACAGCATTCGTCCATCCCTGAAAAAAAAAAAGAAAACACCCCGCCTTAATTTAATTTTTATTTTATTTTTTAATACTGCTACCTTAAAAGAATCTTAATACAACCTGTATTGTGTTTCCCACTGTACTTTATCAACAGTGCTGGACTGGATAAAGAATATCAGACGAATCTTCCCTGAAGACTGACGTGCAACTTTGATTTAATGATAGAGAGAAAGCCTGCTGCCTTGTAATTGATGGTTAAGAACAAATTATATAAACCAATTGGTCAGCATGCTATAAAGCAATTATAGATGTTTGGTGCACATTAGCGTACCGTGCTTTAGGCGTACCAGAAGAAATGCCTTCCTGACATGAAATGGGAAATGAGGACCAACTGTTGACCATGTGACAGCAGTGCCAACCCACCAGTAACAGTCGATGAATAAACTTGGGCTTGCAACCAAGCTCACCGCATGGCAATTCCTTTCAAATGTGGCCGACTCCTAATGAAAAGGGAACCGAATGAGTCGGCTCACAAAACTCAGCTGGAGGAGGTACGTTTACTCTATTCGTGGGATGTTCAAAGAATGTTTATAAAACCCCCCTTTACTACATACTATTTACAGTTTTACTGCAATCTAACAGCTGCTGCCATTTTAATCTCTGGCCAGATTAATCTCTGCTCATTTAGGAAGGCTTCTCATTACTGTGGTGTTCCGTGGATGTGGATGGTGCTTCTGCTTTAGTATTTCTCACCATTGCGAGTTGTAGCCCTCATGATGTACAGCAGGAAACCCTAAGAACACTGTCTGC